TGGCCCCGGCCGCTCCAGTGCCACAGCAGCACCGGGCACTGCTGGTGCGTGGACGCCGCGGGGCAGGAGATCGCGGGCACCCGGACGGCCCCGGGCAGCACCCCGCCCCGCTGCGGGACCCCAGGTGGGTTCTACGGGGACGCAAGGAGGTGCCATCCCCACCCCATAGCACCCAGCTCTGTGGTGTCCCTCCAGCATGCTTAGCATGGAAGGGCACCGGGCAAGGAGAAGGGAACTCGGGGCTCCCAGAGGGGAAAGGGGAGGCAGGTTGGGTCCTTTGGCATTCTTGATGGCATTCCATGGGGTAGTATCCCAAATGGGTGGCGCATGGGGTTCCTGGGTCTTCAGGGTGTCCTGGCTCACAGGGATATAGTGGCAGTGGCCATTGGGGAACCTCCCATGTGACCATCGCAGGGGAGGGTGTGTGTGTGTGTGTGTGACTGTCACCTTCTGTGTGGCCAGAGCCCACCGAGCGTCCCCCCAGCATGTGTGAGCGCTGGCGGCAGAGCCTGCTGGAGCACTATGGGGGCAGCCCCCGCCCGGACCAGTACGTGCCGCAGTGCGGGGCTGGGGGCGAGTTCAGGCCCCTGCAGTGCCACGGGGACAGCGGGTACTGCTGGTGCGTGGACCAGAGCGGCTGGGAGATCCAGGGCACGCGCTCCGAGCCGGGCACCACCCCACATCAAACCAGAATGATACTTCCTAGACCCCCCCACCCACATCCACATCCCCATCCCCACCGGGATGCGGAGCCGGGGGGGTGTCGGTCCCTGAACCGTCTCTCTCTCTGCCCCTTTACCCACCAGGTCTCCCCAGCGTCGCACCGCCCAGTGTCCAACCTTCTCCCCGCCCCGACGTGTCCCCACCAGCCACGGGCACCTTCCTGCTCTACGCTCAGGGGCAGCAGATCGGATACCTGCCCCTCAACGGGACGCGGCTGCAGAAGGAGGCGGCCAAGACCCTGCTCTCCCTCCATGTACAGTATCTTACAGCACCCCAGACTGGTTTAGGTTGGCAGGGACCTTCAAGACCATCCAGTCCCAACCATGTACAGTATCTTACAGCACCCCAGACTGGTTTAGGTTGGCAGGGACCTTCAAGACCATCCAGTCCCAACCCCCTGCCATGGGCAGGGACACCTCCCACCAGCCCAGGTTGCTCCAAGCCCCATCCAACCTGCCCTTCAACACTGCCAGGGATGGGGCAGCCACAGCTTCCCTGGGCAACCTGGGCCAGGCTCTCACCACCCTCACAGCAAAGAATTTCTTCCCAGTGTCTCACCTGAATCTCCCCCCTCTTCCAGTTTGAAATAATGACTTGTCCTATTCCTCCCTGCCCTTGTCCCAAGCCCCTCCCCAGCTTTCCTGGAGCCCCTTCAGGCACTGGAAGGTGCTCTAAGGTCTCCCTGGAGCCTTCTCTTCTCCAGGCTGAACACCCCAACTCTCCCAGCCTGGCTCCAGAGCAGAGCTGCTCCAGCCCTGGGATCATCTCCGTGGCCTCCTCTGGACTCTACAACAGCTCCATTGCCCAGTGTCTCTCCTGGACCACTCTTGTCTGAGCTGGGATGGTTTGAGGCATCACCTCTGGAAGGGCGATGTTGATTTTGGGGGACATTGGCACTGAGATGGAGGAGGAGTGATCTCAGCTTGTCCTCCAGCTGGCCCCAAGCAGAGGAGCAGGTCACAGCCTGCAAAGGAAGGAGCATGGGTGCTTGCTGAGCCCTGTTGGTCCCAGGCCACCAGTGTGCAGCTCTGCACTGCAGAGTCTCCACTGCAAATTGACTTTTCCGTTCCTCAGGCTCCTTTTGGAGCACGGCCACGTGCATCTCCAGCCAGGCCAGACCCAGGGAGAGGAAGGCTGAAATCTGGGCCATGACCCTCCCTGCTCCCTGGGGAACTGAAAGCTCTTGCCAAGTATTCCAGTTCCCCAGCCTGAAGGTCATTCCTTGGGCCAGCTTCACTGGTGGATCAGTGTCTCCTTGAGCTGAAAGGTTTCAAACCCATCTGGATGTGGGTGTGTGCCTGCAGGAGCTGGCTTAAAAACCTCTGCAGCAGGATTCAGCTGGGAATGTGCAGCTGGAGCCTGCTGAGGTTGGCTTTTGCCAGGAAATGGGGATTTGGGTGTCATTCCCCACTGCTGCATCTTGCAGAGCACCCTGGGCAGCTCCCAGTTGTGGCTGGTGGGCTAAGGATGCTCACTGGGGCTCCAAGCACTGGCCCAGGTGGGATTTCACCCCTGTGTCCCTCTCCCTACCCTGGCAGGGCTCCATCGTGGTGGGGATCGACTATGACTGCCGGGAGAAGACCATCTATTGGACCGACGTGGCCGGCCGGACCATAAGCCGGGCGAGCCTGGAGTCAGGTGCTGAGCCAGAGACCATCATCAGCTCAGGTGTGCTCCCATCTCCGCTGCCACCTGCCACCACCTTGTCCCCATCACAGCTCTAGGGCTGGGGCTTTGGGCTCCTCCACCCACGCTCACATTCCCTCGGCTGCGGGTGAAGGTGGGGATGCTGCGACAGGTCCAGGAGCTGCATGTGTCCCCCCACACTGACCCTGTCCCTCCCTCGGGCAGGGCTGATCAGCCCCGAGGGGCTGGCTGTGGACCACCTGCGCCGGGCCATCTTCTGGACTGACAGTGGCCTGGACAAGATCGAGAGAGCCCGGCTGGACGGTTCCCAGAGGCGGGTGCTCTTCGACACGGAGCTGGTCAACCCCCGGGCCATCACGGTGGACCCTGTCCGAGGGTGAGCAGTGACATTCCATAGGGATTTCCATGCACAGGGCTTGGCACAGGGCAAGAGGAGGACATGCAGGGTGGTGCCACGGCCCCATCCTGACCCTGGGAAGCAGCTCTCCGACGCTGCACGCCCTGTAGGAGGAGGGATTGGCTCTGCTCCCCACCTCCTCCTTTGTTGAAGAATTCAGGATTTGGCAAAACCTGCTGGTTTGGGGTCAGGATGGACGTTATTTTTCAAAGCTTTGAGACCCACCTGGCAATTGTCAACACAAGCTGTGCCTCCAGGGTGCTGTTGCCATCCAAAATCTCCTACTCCTAAGACTCACCCTAGCCTAGGAGCTACAGTTTGAGTCATAAACATGCTTGACATTATTTGAGTTTACTTTTAATAGCTTCTTTTAAATCCAAAAAAGATTTATTTCAGGCACTCTTAGGGGGAAATCCAGGCCTCTCTCCTGACAAGAACCAGTAATGAAGAGAAAGCTGATAACCTCCTGCTGCTCCTTACTGTCTTGTTTGTTCATTTCTCTCATTATTTCCCAAGCAACCTTTACTGGACGGACTGGAATCGGGAAGCACCCAAAATTGAAACTTCCACTGTCAACGGAGACAACAGGAGGGTCCTGGTGAACAGGGACATTGGCTTGCCCAACGGCCTGACGTTTGACCCCTTCTCCAAGCTGCTCTGTTGGGCAGATGCAGGTAACTTAGAACCACAGAATTATTTGGGTTGGAAAAGACCTTTCAGATCACCAAGCCCAACCCTTCCCCCAGCCCTGCCAAGGCCACCCCTGCCCCATGTCCCTCAGCACCACATCTACA